TCCTTGGATCTCCTTGGATTCCGAGTTGGATTCCCTTGGAATTCCTTGAATTTCCCTTGAAATTCCGTGGATTTCTTCGAAACTCCTTGGATTTCCTTAGAATTCTTTGGATTTCCTTGGAATTCCTTGGATTACTTTGTAATTTCTTGGATTTTCTTGGAATTCCCTAGAATTCCTTGGAAATTCTTGGAATTCCTTGGAAATTCTTGGAATTCCTTGGAAATTCTTGAAATTCTTTGGAAATTCTCGGAATTCCTTGGAAATTCTTGGAATTCCTTGTGTGAAGTGCGGTATAATTCTGGTGTACCAACAACTGGAATTCCTTGGAATTCCTAGAAATTCTTTGTGAAATTGAAGTTTGGTGTACACAATTTTGACCGCGGATTACCCCTCGGTTTTTTATGAAAGATTGCCTAAAATGTTTTTTCGGCAACCGTCCGGGGAAGTACCTACTTCCCGGACGCTGTTGTCACTGTAACCATGAAAATCTTGGTAGATATGGTTTTGATACATGCAGACAATAATTACCATCGCAGCAAAATATCGGCTGACAGCTATTCGACATGAAATTAGTTGATATTTTGATTTTTGAGTTTGAAGTTTGGTTGCAATTATCGCAATAAACTATCGAAAGCAGCTGCGATAGTGAGTTTGAAAATGTCCATAAGAAATTTTCAATGTAACAGTTAGTAGGTATAGGTATATTTTGTTCAAATTTCAGTATTTGATAAGTAATATAATATGGACATGTGTCTCATTGATTTGTTATTCTACATGGTTGCCGAAAAAATAGTGTACGCAACACGTCCAAAAAACAGTATTTTCCGGACTTGTTACGTAAATAACTATTTCTAAGAGAGATTGTTCGTATTTTCAGCACTGTTTGGCCCGAGCTCTGTACGATAACATCCCTGACACACCCGATGAACTGAATTTCCGTAAAGGAGACACCCTCATCGTTCTAGAGCAGAATACCGCAAATATCGAAGGATGGTGGCTGTGCTCTCTAAGAGGGAAACAGGTAAACCAGTCATTTTTGCACTCTTTTCAATAATTCATATCAAAGGTAGGTATCTCTAACGGATGACCTGATTTCGAGCCAGTTTAATATCGGTTCGCATACTTTTTCATCATAAAGATTGTTAGCAGAGCATATTACGGTTCTCGAGATAAAGGAAAATGATGCAAAACAATAATTTCAATAAAAACAATGGACGAGTCAGACGAGTGGACTGATAATTTATTTTTGGCATTCAATTTACTCCATCACTATTTCGTTAGAATCCTAAATTGATTTTTTCAACACTTCACGCTTTTTTTATGTAAATAATAAGTCTATGCCTTGTTCAATAATCGTTGAATTTCAGAGGTCATTTCAAACGCAACGTCTCACATACATATATGGATATATGGCAGCAATCTATTGACAAATAGACTCCTCGCCAAGCTTCCGTCTGATGGCTTGCCTCCCCAGCTATGTTCTCTGCTAGCTAGTTTTCTCTCAAACAGGTCTCTCCATGTAGCGGTCGACGGAGTTTCATCTGACTCTCTTATCATAAATGCTGGTGTTCCGCAAGGATAAATTCTAGCACCAACACCATTTCTACTCCATATCAACGATTTGTTGGAAGCAACTTCATGCCAGTACACAGCTTCGCGGATGATAGTACCCTCTATACCGCCTTCTCTTCCAGGGCTCCAATACCAGACAGACAAATCAGAAACGAAAGAGGGAGAAATGTTGACAACAATAATATAGACTTGGCAACAATTCTCGAATGGGGATCCAATAACTTGGTAGAATTCAATGCAAACAAAACACAAGCATGTCTTTTCTCTAGAAAAGTCGATTTCACTGTGTCCAACATAAGCTTTTCAGGAGTAACCATATACCTCTGAAGACATCCATTTCGATGCTTGGTATTACTATCAGCAATAACCTTTCTTGGGAAAATCACGTGCGGTTTTCTGTTTCGGGCCAGGACCTATTCACTTCCAGTCAGCTGCTTATGATCTATAAGGCACATATCCGACCTGTCCTGGAATACTGTTCCCATATTTGGAGTGCAGCACCCAAACATACCCTCAAAACTGTTTGGATTCTGACCAAAAAAGGGCAATTCGTCTCGTGGGTGATGCCTCGCTCACAAACGCACTCACTTCTCTGGAACACCGTCGAAAAGTTGGCGATCTGGCTCTATTTAATAGATATTTTCATGGAAGATGCTCTTCTGAAATATCAACAATTGTTCATTGTTCCTCCCTTGGCAGTCCACGCGAGATTAACCCGTCGAGTTGAGGCTTCGCACCTCTTCGTGGTCATTTTGGAGACTTGCAGAACATCTCTTTCCAAAGACTCGTTCATCCAACGAACAGCGAGGCTCTGGAACACATTGCCAAGGGAGGTGTTCCCGAGGCATATAATCTCCAGAAATTTAAGAAGAACACCAGTTCCTACCTTATTTCCCTTGGTTCGCACGATGTTCTCTGAACATTACAGGATATCCCTTTTCGAGAGAACCAGAAATTACAAAAAAAAAAAACTGGCGGTAAATTTCTAGCCGTTTGAAAATAACCATTATTGATGATTAAATCACCTGAAAATCCACCGCAAAATTCCTGAAAAATAAGAAATTGAAAGTATTTGAGTGATGATTTAATTCAACAATTAAAAAAATTTAGTCCATTAGATATATTGGTGTAAATTTTATGGGAGTCAGAAATGAAGGAAGATCAATAAGGGAATGAAATGAAGGAAATGATTGGGAAATGAAGAAAAGTGGATAGCAAAATTGAAGAAATTAAATAAGCTTCTTTATGAATTTAGAGGAGATGAATGTGGAGTAAATAGGGCACATAAAGTAATTTAAATAATTAAATTAGGAATTCTAGACACTTTGAGAAGCAACAATAGTTATTTAACCGTTTTTAATATGTTTGAAACATTAGCTGTCTTTCAATTCTGATTGGTCTATCAGCGTTGATGTTTCCAACTAAATATGTATCAACCATGGATAGGGAAGCAATAGCAAAGTCTGGATTGTCTGGATGTAACCATGCAAGACGGACTCGTGGTGTTGCTCGGCAACATAATTTCGGGAACAATGAGAGAGATGTATTGAAATTTAACTGGTGGGCTCACTCTTCAATTGTTTCGTCAGACTAACTCTCGATATGGAACAATTGCAAGAGAGTTTTGGACGTGGGGTTCAGGTATTTGCGATAGAGGCGCCATAATCGGAAAATCGTTCAAAACCTTGGTTCTGTGAGGGATGAATCTATTTCCATCATTGTTCTGTGGTCGAATAAATACTGTGCTCAACATTTCCATTCAAATTTCAATTTGAAATAGAAGCAAGAAATCTTTTTTGTAGCCGATTTTAATAAGCTTCACTTCTTTCATGACATGAACCTATTTAAAGCAATGAATCTGATGAATTTCCTCTTCGAAGAACCAGAACAAAGAATGTATCAACTATTGAAATCGAGATTGAAATAGACCAATATCGAAAATCATAATAGGCAGATATGGTAACATGGTACTCACCTTAGAATTTATTCACACCAGTTCACGCTAATATTTCAAATCACTAAAATAATACTGTTGTAGAACAGAGATTTTCTTTTTTCTATGGTGGATTAGGTATTATACACAAAATTTAGAAACTACGGAACACGTCCCTAACGAACACTTGACCCCAATCTCAGAAATAACCATTTTTTCAGCTCAAGAATATTTTTGACATATTGACGTTTCGATCCTTTGATCAGGAATCAGTTCACTGCTCTGATCCAAATCATATACGTATCCAAATATTTATCGGTCGGTAATATGTTTTCTGTAAATATGGATTGTAACCAGGATGAGCTTAGCGAGATTTACCCACGTCAAGTATGTTTATCAAAGGTTTATCAGAGTAGGCGCCATCGAGAAACTTGCAAACGACCTTCAATAGGGAGCAAGCGCACCAGTTGAATTTCTATACATCTCTACAATGAGAATATAATAAGTCAAATTTGACGTGAGGATTTTCCGCAAAATGGAAACAGAAAAATTGGACAGTGAAGAACCTAAAAAAAACCCTGATTTGGACATCTCGCAACTGAAATTCTCGCTGACCCTACAAGAGACGGACGAAGAGAAAAAGGCACTAGAAAAGGCGCTGTTCGACAACGACATGGCCCCCTATTACGAAATCGTTTGCGACGACCTCGGATGGAAGGTCGACGCGGACATTTTGAAAGAAATGAAAGAGAAAAACACAAAGGCGCTAGAAGAATTCGACAAAGAGATCGAGTACGCGGCGAGCAATTCGAGTTCGATTGAAGTGAAAGAGGCCTATCTGAATAAAGCTAATTATCTCAGGTAATTGAACATTTCGACACTTGTCATGTGATCAGTCATTTTTTAGTAATCAGATACCAGGACTTCTTCTCTCTGGATTTCCTTTCGATTGGTAGGTACTATATACTTTTTTCTACAAGCGTGCGCGTGATTCACCCTATACCCGCACGCAATTTAGTTTGGGAAGGGTCATTTTTCCGTAGTAGTGCGGGAAAAGTTTTCTCACACTAGTGCGGGAAAAACATGTATACAGGGTGTTTCAGTTTTTTGTAGCAGGACTTTAACAGCTTGAAGAAGACATTTTTTTAAGATGAAAATCTCATACAAACATATATGCGTGGGAGCTTCGTTTCCGATTTACAGGGTGTCAAAATTTCAGATTTTTTTTTATGTTTTTTCAATTTTCTCCTACAATTTTCGGAATAATTGATAGAAAATTTGGTACACCTAATACACTTCGAAAACTCAATATTTGAGACTTTCAGTTAATGTTCAAGAAATGTCAAATGAGTGTGTTTGAGAAATAACGGTTTTATTACAAGTAATTTATTTTTGGCATTTATCTCGAGATCCATACAGTTTTCGAAAAATTTACATAGGAGCAAAAAGTTTCTAAATTGCAGAGACAATCTGAATCTATGTCCCATTGAAAGCAGAGGCGGCACGCAAAAAAGTTCTACAGGGTTAGATTGGGTACGACCCCTGAAAGTCTATCACCCTGTAGGTATTCAAAAACGCTCAATAACTTCAAATATTGAGTTTTTGAAGTGTATTATGTGTTCCAAATTTCAATCAATCATTCCGAAAATTGTAGAAGAAAATTCAAAATACATAAAAAAAATGTAACTTCGACACCCTGTGAATCGGAAACGAAGCTCCCACGCATATATGTTTGTTTGAGATTTTCATCTTGAAAAAATGTCTTCTTCAAGCTGTTGAAGTCCTGCTACAAAAAACTGAAACACCCTGTATAATATTCTCGCAAAATATGAAGGGTGGGTGACACGATATGGAAATTTTAGTTTTTTTTTTGTTGCAGTATTTAGTAAGTTTGTACAAAATCATTCATCAATAAATTGCACTATTTATTGTGAAAATGAAGAAATATTGAAAAATAATCGCTCTATAGCCTTTAGTTATTGATCTGATGTGGAAAACAATATTGTTGTCATGTCAATCAAAACACAAATTAGTAAGTGTAATTCTCAGAGTGGCAGACAGAGAGTTACTGTTTGTTTGTTTGTATTAAATAGGCTCCGAAACTACTAGATCGATTTGGCTGAAAATTGGTGAGGAGGTAGCTTAGAACCAGGAGAAGGTTATAGAATACTTTTTATCCCGGTACCATTAAGAAATTCGAGATGGCGGATCTAATATATCGGACGAGTTTTGTAATTATGGTCCGATTCAATTTAAAATTGGTATCTGGGGTTTTTCGGGGTCAGAGATTATGATTCTTTCGTCAGAATTTGAAAATTCGGGCGGAATTTGGAAATTCAAGATGGCGGAACCAATATGGCGGACGAGTTTTGTACTTGATTATGATCCGATACTTTTCAAAATTGATACCTAGGGGTTTTCGTGATCGGAGATTATGATTCTTTCGTCAAAATTAGGAAATTCAAGATGGCGGACCCAATATGGCGGACCCAATATGGCGTACGAGTATTGTAATT